TAAAACCTTCAAGAGAGATGTTCTTACGGAGTGTTTTTTCTTGTCGATTTTCAATCATATAGTCATTAACGCTTATTTGTAAATTGTTTAAATGAACTATAGCATCAGAAGAGCAATTTATTGATACATTTGAATACTGAGTACATTTTAGAGGTTGATGATTAATCACATATGAAGCTCGTACCGAAAGAATACCTGGGTCGTTGTCTCACTAACCAGATAACAGTCAGTGTCAACACTGAAATTTGACCCTGCCCTCTGATCAGTTCTCCTTATGTGTTTTGATATAAATATGCATTAATATGGCAGCAATACCCATTTACAGCATCTATAACAAGCATCAATTAGTAAAAATGTTTAGTGGAACGTTTTTGTGAAGAGTCTTCGTTACTCGGTTCCTGCACAAATTCTTCAAAATAAATGGTGTCAGAAAGCAAAGGTAATATCTGTATGAGGTTAGAAATAAGTCAGGAGTAGAATTGCAGAGTACTAAGTTATGATCTCACCCATGACTGAATCAGGGAAGCTAGGTGGTCCATATGAGGCTTATTACTACTCTAATTTAATGTATATATCGGGCAGAAATATAATGTTGCTTTGAAACGAGATTTAAATGAATTAACTGCATCACCTTTATAGTAGAGACACCGAGATATTTGTCAAACATGCTTATTATACGATTCAATATTCGACTCATTGAATATAACATCCTGGAAATTTTCTATCGCCTAAAGTTCAGACCATTAATAAAATCTCAGAAGCTTATACTGAGAGGTGAGAAATTATACTTTGAGATTCTAAACAGATAGCTGATGGCTATCGGTTCACTGTGAATTAAGGAATTTTCAAGATGTACGTTCTCCATTTCAAGCTCTTGGAGTTATCATCTGAATTGGCAACGAGTCGTGGTAACTGCTAGCGGTGCCCACTGTCACCGTTCCTATTTCACTTTGCTACAGACATACTAATGCAGGTAACCTCAAGTGCTTGTGGCTTTAAATTCCATGTAATGACTGTATGGTCAACTACATAGGTCGGACTAGCTGGCCGGAATCAGTTAGAATAGCAGAACATAAGAATTTAGCTAAATGTGGAATGGCGGACCACTTTAAGATCAGTAATCTAGAAAATGACTTAGCTATTATAATGGATGTATTAACTAACACACAACTACACAATAAGGTGGGATAAAGTTACTGTATTTAACTCTAATATAATTAAGTGGAGATAAATATTGGTTACTGAATCTTTGTTCATCGTATCAACACCTAACAAATGGAACAGAAATCAAGCAACGCGCCTGCCAAAGATATAGAAAATTTTACTACCTGTAAAAACAAATCATATGAGGTGACATAATTATAACAATCAAAATCGAAAGTGATGTGATTGCATTGATATGATTATGAGCAATAATTTGTCCCCAGAATATCATCAAATAAATAACAATACATCACGGTGTATTATAAATAAAATAAATAAATGTAATATCGAACTAAATCTCACCACAGTTATTATATAGGATTTGAAAGATTAGATTATTTTGCTAAACTGGTTCCATCAAACCGTCAAGCCGAGAAAGCTTATTTCTGAGTGAGTTTGTAGGTTTAAATGCCACCCTAATTCCAGCCTTGTTGAGAATTCTACGTAAATTTTCTGATGTTTCTTACTGATATGGTGACACAACCGAAGCTTTGAACTCCTTTCTACTCGTGTCGTCGCTATTATTCGTACTCGTAGCCTTGTTATTACTTCGTTTCTTATGTATTCGTACGAGTTTCTTAATAAACGGTAGATGATAATTATTGACTATTAACGCCTCTTTTATGTTTTTCAATTCTTAGTTTAGGTCCTTGCACTGACTAGTGAGTTTTCTGGCTCTATCACCTAGACATTTGACTAAACCTGCCTTAACTGACATTGGATGAGATGACCTGAAATCTAGATAGCTGTTACAATGTATCGGTTTCATATATATGGTAGTATCCAAACCACGGTCTTCCCTTCATTTTATCCTGTGATCCAACGTAGGTAGTTCTCCTTGTCCATTTTCTACACCATAAGTGAATTGAATTGCGCCTACTACACAGTTTATATGTGTGAGAAAATTGTCAATATGTCCCGATTTCAACACAGTAGATTTGTCATCTACATATCACCACCATATCTAAAGTGCGGGATTAAACGTTTGTATAGCCATGTTTTCCCAACTATCCATAATTATATCTGGTACGATTGGGGATATTGGCGACCGATTGCTACTCCTTCCGTTTGTCTATATATTTTGTCCTGAAGCTTGAAAACTGTGGAGGTCAGGCACAACTGCACACCCAATATGATCTCATCAACCGATATCTTAGTTCTGTAAGTTGCGAGTCAATATTTAGTCGATTTCTGACTGCCTCCTACGCCATATTGATTGGTATTTATTATAAAGACTTGTTACATCCAAACTAACCCTTTTTCATCCTCTTCTGTATGTAGGGCATTTGGGCTTAGTTTGGATTTGAACGGCTCCTAACAGGAATTTCGATGCTAAGTACTTTGATAGTTAAACCATCCGGGTATTTCTGAAGACAAATATGGGTCTATTGGGATAGGGGTCTTCTTAGCGTTGCTCACGTTTGGTGGCATCACCGTGTGAGCAATGTTGAGGTCAGGCGAAATGTACTAGACAAGACAGTCTAGCAAGTCGATTGATGAGGTTGTGAACCTTAGTTGACTGAGATGGGTTTGACATGTACTGCGTGTCCCGAGCCACCGCCTACCTCGACGTGCCATGCTGGAGGAAGATGGATTAGGTTGAAAGAGGGTTTAGGGTGGCCAGACCAAGACGTGGTACCAGTCTATGAAGTTCCCGACTGTTGTTCTGAGTCATGTGGGGTTCCCAAGACAAAAGAAATCAGTGGTTGAGGACTCTTGTAGACATGGTTGAAAATTGGTCACAACGAGGCAGATATGTTCACTCCCTGACATCTCCTAATGATTGAATATTCACACTAACCATTATCTTCAGATTTTTTATTCTCTCATACTACTTTGTCTTCTATGATATCACTTATTCTATCAACCTGTCCTTTGTTTATTACTGTGAATTGTTGAAACTTGAGCCGATGCACTTATGTGCAAGGTTCTACATTGATTTTTTCCACGTGTCTGTCTATGTGCCTGAGAATAGCTTCGACTTTTCTTATATTATTAAAATATCTTTTCCATCAGTATGAGGGCTTCATGACATTTAATGCTGATTTAAGACGTGCTGGTCATCAACACACTTCCTTTTCATGTTTCCAGTTGCTTTCAGTAATGTTATCGTCAAGAAAGCTTAGGTTTCAAATTAAGTTGGAACAAGTAAACGTTTTCTCACTTTTTTGCTTAACTGCATCTCGTCAGTCAAAAACAGCCAGTTATTGTGTGAAGATGATTTCTTAAAACTTTAGATTAGCTTCATAGATATTCTTCCTACTTTGGTACCTCTCTTTTTCCATCTACCCGTTCTTTTTGTATCAATGTGAAGTGTGTCAGTTTGGTTTGGTGCACGTGTGTGAGGATTTCTACGTTGATTTTTCAGTCAGATATCCATTTCCTGTAAGGATGTTCCTAGAAGGATTATTGTCTTTTGTTCTCATATTTTGACTTTAGAGGTTCTGGTTTCTGTTCCGAGCTATTTTTTGCATTTATTAAGTATTTCTGTGTATTTCATCCTTATACTGATCTCAGATTTAGCTAGTAGCTTATCATAACTTGATTTTGTTCATTTTTTACACTTTGAAATTCTTCGTTACTCACTGTATGAGACCAAATAATCCGGCCTTCCACAGATAGATACCTTGCTACTCCAAGGAGCCTTTTATGGTGTTATTTGTTTGGTGATGAATAATTGCAGAATCTAAAAGGCGTATTTCATGCTGTAAGGAACGCATAAACTAGATATGACTGAATTCCAGTAAGTCAGTATTTCAATTTAGAGTCAGTTGAAACACTTGGTTACGGGGTCAAAGGAAAACTTTCTTCTTCATTGGTGCGTAGAGGTAGGTTATGATATTTAAGTAATAAGTGTTGAAAAATAGGTAGCTCTAGTGATTCAGTAGCCATGAGGAAAAGCACACCCTTTCTACATTCAACCATTATCGAACAAATCAGTATTGTCCTTAGAGTTGTATTACTTGTAGTTGGTTAGTAGTAAAACTATAGATTTTGGATCACTTACCTGAAATACACACAATGGAAATTTAAAAATTACTGTCTATGGAAACAGCACAAAAAGATGGAATTTAGTGCCAGTTTTCTTCTGTGATGCTATAATACTCTTCACAAGCAGTTATTTTACTGCAGTTAAACTTTGCTGTCTCTGTTTCATTATTAAAATTGATGTTTTTGTATACAAGCAGTTTCCTACGGACACTTTATTCCAGTTATCAAAATATTCAACTCAAGTAGTAAAACAGAGTTCAACCTTTACGACGAAGCTGAAGGCGACTTTAAGTACCGAAAACTGTACTTTCCTGTCTCTTGAGTAGAAGCCCTACATTGACTCCTTCATATTACGTAGCATTATTTACTTCGTGTTCATACATCGGGCAGATGTGGGACGTGATGTAGGCATCAGGTACTGATAAGCATTCAATATTAACTCGTCATTGGGTAAAACTATTGCAATAATTTTGTCATATCGGACACTCATGATTACAATTTACAGACTTTGTTACTGAGTGACAGCAGGTAACTTATCACTGCCAGAAATGCATTTCCTGATGACATCGTGAAATAGGGTGACTTTAAACGCCACCCTAACAACGATTCAAATACCAGGTTAGGTTTCTTCATTTTGTCTCGAAAGAGAAATTTTCAGAAAAATAGAGAAGTCTAATCAGTTGTTTCAGTTGTTGCTAGGGTGGTCTTTAAAGTAGCTCTTGAGCATTCTTTAGTATGCTATGGTAATAAAATAATATTTAACAACTTTAAGAAATTAGATTCCCATTGTATGTTTATCGTTAAAGATTTCAACTCCAGCTAGATAACAAGCACAATGAATATACAGTATATCATGGGAAATGGGAAGAAGAACAAAAAATGCTGTCAAATCTTCGAGAAAATTATCAGAGATCTATTAAAAAAATGTTTGAAGAAACTAAAAGGATGCATTCTGTGAGAGATGAAGTAGACGCACTGTGTTTACGATTATACTATCTCAATAAAGCTAAACAAGATGTCAGTGAAGATTTAATGGTGTTAAAACGAGCTGCTGAAAAAGTTAATACGGATTTAAGCAAGGTTAGTTTTAAATATAGCGATGAATGTTCAGGTTTAGATTTTTACAACAAAACGATAGGGTCATCAAGCACAAACCGCTGTATTATGATGGTTTGGTATTTTCCCTTGAATTACTTAATTATAGTTGTGAATAGCTTGTTTCATAAGCTTAGGAAATAGATGCACTTAAAAATCCTTCATTTTTACCTTATCATGTAACCCTACTTGCAGACAGGAATAATGAAGAACAGTCTAAAACAAAACTGTGTCCTTTCACGTAAGTATAGAATTTAGGGACTGTGGCAAAATGTCATTTCATATCAAACAGACTATTCTAACTCGGAATTGCGTTAGTTTAAGTGCAGAAGAAAGAAATTAAAAGTTGAGAAATGTTCATATCAAAAAGAAGAATGATATCAGTGAGGAAAACCTTATGAGCAGGCATCATTAAAGCATCCAAGATTTACAGAAAGTAAGATGTATATTTGTATATATACTGTCCTGATAAATTTTGAACTATTTCTGACCCCAAAACCCAAAGATTTCTTTTGAGTGGCCTACACTTCCATCCAAAACTGGAACTAACAGCCGATAGCCGCATGAACAGTTTTAGTGTCTCCCTTCGACCACTTTTAGCTTCTTCTTAACATACTCATACTCACCTTTATCTTAATGACCTTTGTATTGTAAATTTATATGGAGGTAGGATTCCTGGCTTTGATGTGATTTGCCAGAAACAACAATGAAAAGCAGTTGAAAATTAAGTTTTAATTAGACACAGTTTATACGGATACCTAAAGTTTATTGACCCTCATCAGTAAGCAACCGTAATTTTTTTGAGAGAATGAGTGAAAATAATGCTAAAAAAGAGAGAGAAATTCGAAATCAAAAATTGCACAAAAGTATATAAGTTCAAATTACCGCACTTCACAGTAGCATGCAAAAGACAGCGATTACTATAAAGGTTTCAGCTCATCTACTTTCTTCCCATCTGGTCAATGAAATGTGATTATGTATATCATAGAAATATGCTTGTTTTAATTGACCGAAAATTACCATTTGATCAACAGACAAACTTTAATTAGTATTGAGTGACACTGCTACGATCATCACCACTCATTTTACTGTTCCTATACGCCATGCAGCAGTAAGATATACTGCTAATCTAAAGTATTTGCAAAATTTTATGATTGCATATACATCCTACGTATCAAGGATTGCAAAATCTTCGTTAAGTGGTTTACTTTACTGTATCGATCCAGTAAGAAGACACTTTAAATTAGTCGTTGTGAAAACCAAAACAACTATTCAACTCATGAAGTAACTGACTTGGACATTTTCTAATCCACAACCAAAGTGAAGTGAAGGATTGAAAATGATGTAACTCATATCGACTGGAACAGTGCCGACGCATTTTTTTTCATCGAATCCTTCAGAATAATCTGTTATTTAATTCACAACACACTGACACAGTATTATTTACTTGATGAAGTTTCGAGCATAAATTGTCGCTCATAATAATATCACTGTAATCGCACCATTTTCAACAATCGAGTTTTATAGTCCTTTCACCTCATATTCTTTGTTTTTCCATATCTCTGGTGTAGGTGTTGAACATTCCTAATACATTTGTTAGGTGTTGACTAGATGGACAAAGATTCGGTAACCAATCTTTATCTCTACCCATTTATACTTGACTTAAGTAGGGTGGTTTTATTACACCCTATTGTGTGGTTGTAGGTTAATCATCATCATCAACATAGGACCACACACTGTTTAGCAATCCGAGTTGCCACAACTCATTTAAGTACGTTAAGTAAAAAGGTAGTTAAGTGGAAGATGAAGAAAAGAAAACTCAGTCAGAAGAAATATAAAGTACGGAAAGAATAAAAAAGAATGAGAAAATGGTGAGATTCGGTATAGCATTAAGATGAGGATAATGTGCATATATATCTCCGCCACTGACTTCGGTTCTGAGCCATATCACCAAGAGTCTAAAACCACCGTTTCGCCTTATCCCGCAGACCCCAACCACCTAATCTGCATCTCCCCACATGGCTCAAACTAACAGTCAAGACTTCAAACATTTATGTCATGTTTTTGTCTGGCCACCTGGTGCCTTTTTCCAGCCTGGCCTACTTCGGCCAACATTGTGTGACGAGGCGGACGGTGGCTATGCATACGTAACACGTGTCCCAACCATCTCAGTCGATGAAGGTTCACCACCTCGTCAACAGATTTACCTATACTCCCTAAATCTCTATACCTGACTTCTGAGATACTCATGTGGTGACAACACGAAAAAAAGCCTATACTACGAAAGCAACGGCAGTCAAACACCTGAAACCTTTCCGTATCTTCCACCTTCAATGGCCAGGCTGCAGGTAGGAGAGACCTGACAACATTATATCAAATAACCAGGTTACAATCTGAGTGAGAAGAGATCAACACAGAAGAAACCAATAAAAGATGATGAAAGAAATCTAATTACCAAAGAAGAGGAACAAATGAAACGATGAGCTGACCACTTCAAAAAGCTCTTGAATCGACCACCACATGCACTTCGTCCAGAAATACCACCTACAGCCCAGTCACAGAACTACAAGTCCTGAGCGCCATAAAGCTACTGAAGGGCGGGAAAGCAGCAGGACCAGATGGAATCCCACCAGAAGCACTGAGATCAGACGCAGAGACAATAGTGGACATGCTCACACCACTATTGCAGAAGGTCTGGGAGCAAGGGAAGGTACCTGCCGGTTGATTAGAAGAAGGGTTACCTTGTCAAACTGCCGAAGAAGGGAGACCTTAGTCTTTGCAAGAACTGGTGCGGAACCAGCCCCCTGTCCACCTAAAGCAAGCAAAATATTAAGCTGCGTCATCCTGGAGAGACTAAAGGATGCACTGGGTCCAAAACTACGACCGGAACAGACAGGCTTCAGGAAGTACAAATCATGTGCGGACCAAATTGCAACGCTTCGCACCATCATAGAACAGAGCACAGAACGGCAGTCAACCCTCTACCTCAGCCTCATCGACTTTGAAAAGGCCTTTGACAGCGTCGACCGAGAGGTAATTTAAAAACTGTTTCAATACTACGGAATACCGCAAAGCTTTATCAGCCTCATTCAACAACTATATGAAGATGTCACATGCCAAGAAATTCATAATGGGAAGCTCAGTAATGCTTTTGAAGTGAAGACAGGAGTGAAACAAGGTTGCCTACTATCCCCATGATATTCCTGATTGTAGTGGACTGGATCATGCAACAAACAATGAGAAGCTGTGAGGAGAGGGGGATACTCTGGACCGCGGAAAAGAACCTAGAAGACTTGGATTTCGCCGATGACTCGTGTCTGGTGTTGCACAAACTTGAAGATCTGCAGGCAAAAACTAACAAGTTGATAGAAGAGGCAGCGAAGACGGGACTTCAGGTGAATATACAGAAGACAGAGGTGATGAAGATGCCCAACCAACAACAACAACAAACTCCAATCACCATCAACGGGAGAAACTTAAAGGAAGGAGCCTCCTTCACCTATCTAGGTAGGGCAGCATTGTTTCAACTACAGGCGGCACAGACGAGGACGTCAAAGCAAGACAGGCGTTCATTAGCCTGAAACCAGTGTGGAGATCTACTGTACTGCACTCAGCACAAGTGTGAACAAGATGCGGATTTTCAACATCAACGTCAAGTCAGTGCTTCTGTATGGCTCGGAAACTTGGCGCGTTACGAAAAGCATTTCCAACAAACTACAGACATTCATCAACAACTGCCTACACTCACTCGATACTGACACTGAAGATCAGATGGCCAGAAAGAATAAGCAACAAGGAACTCTCGCCGGGCAACGAACCAACCAAGAACCTATTACCTAACAAATATGCAGAAGGAAGTGGAGATGGATTGGAGCCAGGCTCAAAGGATTTCAGAGAACAGAGTGTACTGGAGACGTGCTACTGAAGCCCTATTTTCTATCAGGAACCCAAGGGACGAAATTTCACCGGCAACTGACCCACCAGGGCTGATCCTACTTCTCAGGTAAGTGAAGTGATCGACACACTCAACCACTCCACACTCTGTTATTAGCCGTGGGATCGCTGAAGACCAATTCTGGAGCAACAATTTGCATTTGCGTGGTGAGAAACGCATCCCAAACATTCTTAAATTGCCGCTCAAAGTGTTCGGAAGACTGTATCTTGTCAACGTCTTCACCTAACTGGACTATGTCATCTGCATGTTCCAGGTCTAACGAAAATCCTCCTGTGATAAGTTCAACGTCTGTGTAACCCGATGACGAGAGGGAGACCTCCATTAGAATATCTATGATAAAATTGAATAAGAATGGAGAGAGCGAGCGGCCTTGACGGCATGGCTTGACGAGTACAGCTCCCCAGATACCCTCATCATAGGCTCTAACATGCCCACAAGTGTTCAAGCAGAGAGTCCTCAATAAGGTGATGTAAATACTCTGCACGCCTTTCAGAGAGAGACATTGCCATAAGACTTCTGGATCAACGGAGTCGAATGTCGCCTTCTGGTTGGGAAATACGGCTAGTCTCGGGCGTTGGTAAGCGTGCCTGCGTTCCAGAGCCTGGTGCAGTGTGAATGATTGACCAATACACCCACGGCCGGGCCTAAAGCCTGCCTGGTTTTCTCTGACTTGCTGTTCCCGAGCTCAACTCAGGCGTCGAAAAATTATGGAACCTAGAATCTTAGACACTATGTTTGTCAGGCTGATTCTTCCGTGGGTATCACAAGAGGACTTCTCGCCTTTCTTGAAGATTGAAATAATCAGTGATGTAGACCAGTCAGAGGGGATCATATTTGATTCCCATATACTGTTTAACACTTCCGTTAGCCTGACTAAGAGCACTCTGCCACCATCCTTGTATACCTCAGGAGTTAGTCCGTCTGGTCCTGCCGCCTTTTCTCATTCCAGGTTACCTACTGCTTTCTCGACTTCTGTTAGTGTTGAGGTGCATATCTCAATGTTCCATTCAGGATTTGACTGGATAGCAGGCAACGCAATGGTGGCTGGAGGCCAGTTAAACTGTTCCTCGAAGTGTTCTGCCCATCGTTCCAGTCGTCTCTCTTGCGGGTGAATCGCAGACCCGTCCTTCACCGCTATGGTCTGACTAACCGTTGTTGACCTTTCCCCCCAAGTTTCCTTAATAAGTCTAAATAACTGTATATTGTTACCAATCGCCGCTGCCTTTTCCATCTCTTTAGCCTTCGCTGCCCACCACTGTTCGCGGTCATTGCGTAGACTTTTTTCAGTCTACTTTTAAGTTGTGCTCGCTCTTCATTGTACTCAGAGCCTGAAGGGATGCGTTCACGTGCATCCATTATTTCGAAAGAAGCTGCTGATATCTACTGACTCTTTTTAGCCACTATTTTGGAGTCGGCTACGGTCTTCAACGATGCTTTTACAGCAGACTGAAGATGGCACCAACCTTCTTCTGAGTGAGCAATAGTGTTCTGTTTCGATAACTACCTAGCCAATTTTCCACTGAACACGGATTTGGTGTTTTCGTTGTTGAGCTGCACTCGTAATGGCTTTGTCAAATTTTTCCTACGTCCATTGAGACGCAGGCATATACGCGCTCGGACCAACGCGTGGTCACTATCCAAACACGTACTCCAGAAGGAGCGGCAGTCTTCCACCAATCCTCTCCAGCGATGACTAATAGTAATGTGGTCTATCTTTGTCCATCGCTAAGTTGAGCTTGATGGACGCCACATCAGACAGTGTCTTTCTTTGTGTCTGAAATTTGTGCTAGCTAAAAATAGGCGGTTATCTGAACACAGTTGTAGTAGGTGATCACCTTTATCTGTTCGTTCAGACAGGATTCCGAAGGTGCCACCTAAGTGCCTTTCTGCCCCACTCAGTCAACCCACCTGTGCATTGAGATCACCTGCAACAACCACCACTTCTGAATGTTTGGCTTTTGAAAGGAGGCTAGACAGTTTTCGGTAGGACTCGCCCTTCACTGCATACGAACTGCAGTCAGTGGGTGCGTAAGCAGAGATTACAAAGAGACAACGGCGAGTTTCACCATTCTTTTTAGTTCTCACTGTCCCGCTCAGCCGGACAGTGCAGAGGCGACTATCAACTGGGATCCAGTGTAGTAGTGAGCTTTCTGCCCTAGTACTTAATGCTATGCATATACCTGCAAGACCCCGAGAGTTAGTCATTGAGTCTCCAGAAACTCGAAGGGTGAATTTCGCGGATTCATCAGACTGGTCGGGAGAGGTTAGGTGAATAACCGCACATGGGTCCTGTATGCGAGTCTCACAAACACAGCAAATATACATGGCCCGAGTTGCTAGAGCCTTGGCCAATGAAGCCTGTTAACTAGTTTGACGGAGGGTGCAGACATTCAAGGCCCTGATGTGTAATTTGGGGCGTAATTTAAGAAGATCAGGTATGCTGTTCTGTGGATTCAGAGCGTTGTCGAGGGCTGAAGAGCTAGGAGAAATTGAAGACGACGTAGTATGGTTCATTGAGAGACGTGAAGGAAGATTAGAAAGTTGAGGGAGGTGGATAGCAGTCTGAATAGACTTGTGTGCTGACAGAGTTGTGGGGGCGGTTGACACTTCTCAGCTGCCCACACTGTGGAATGCTTCTTCTTCTTAAGGTACCTGAAAGAGATTTGTGTGACCGCAGAGCTCATCGGACATCTGCTTGAGGCCTGTCACACGTAGGCTTTTGTGTACGATTATTTTGAACTGTTGTTGGTTTGGGGCCGGATGGTCGAAAGGAAACGACAAATGGACCAACACCGCCGGCCCGGCAGACCGTGGGGTATGGTGGAGTGTGCTATTTTCTAACCCTCGTCTTCCATTGAGAAGGAAGCATCAGCATGGTACTGCTGGTCATCCAAGGGAAACACCTTACTACTATCACACCCCATCCACCCAGCAGCAGTACGACTTCGCCCTGAGACCCCCATCATAGTGTAGCAATTTACACCACAACGGTAACTGCTTTTCGTCTGATCACTATACAACAGACCCTTCTGGTACGATAGGACCTCGATGGAACAAGTGTTCCACCAGCATAGTTCGTTGATCATTGTGATATGCAAGCCCGACCACCACATCAGGATGGTAGCTATCGGTGAGTTAATGAATGCATTACAATACACAAGTTTTTTTCTACATTTTTGATCTTATCAAGGTCTGTCATTCTACATTTAGCTAAATTCCTGTGTTCCGATGATCTAACTGCTCCTGACCGGCTAATTTGACAGGATGGCCCTAACATGGGATTTGACAGATTAGATTATTTTGCTAAACTGGTTCCATCAAACCGTCAAGCCGAGAAAGCTTATTTCTGAGTGAGTTTGTAGGTTTAAATGCCACCCTAATTCCAGCCTTGTTGAGAATTCTACGTAAATTTTCTGATGTTTCTTACTGATATGGTGACACAACCGAAGCTTTGAACTCCTTTCTACTCGTGTCGTCGCTATTATTCGTACTCGTAGCCTTGTTATTACTTCGTTTCTTATGTATTCGTACGAGTTTCTTAATAAACGGTAGATGATAATTATTGACTATTAACGCCTCTTTTATGTTTTTCAATTCTTAGTTTAGGTCCTTGCACTGACTAGTGAGTTTTCTGGCTCTATCACCTAGACATTTGACTAAACCTGCCTTAACTGACATTGGATGAGATGACCTGAAATCTAGATAGCTGTTACAATGTATCGGTTTCATATATATGGTAGTATCCAAACCACGGTCTTCCCTTCATTTTATCCTGTGATCCAACGTAGGTAGTTCTCCTTGTCCATTTTCTACACCATAAGTGAATTGAATTGCGCCTACTACACAGTTTATATGTGTGAGAAAATTGTCAATATGTCCCGATTTCAACACAGTAGATTTGTCATCTACATATCACCACCATATCTAAAGTGCGGGATTAAACGTTTGTATAGCCATGTTTTCCCAACTATCCATAATTATATCTGGTACGATTGGGGATATTGGCGACCGATTGCTACTCCTTCCGTTTGTCTATATATTTTGTCCTGAAGCTTGAAAACTGTGGAGGTCAGGCACAACTGCACACCCAATATGATCTCATCAACCGATATCTTAGTTCTGTAAGTTGCGAGTCAATATTTAGTCGATTTCTGACTGCCTCCTACGCCATATTGATTGGTATTTATTATAAAGACTTGTTACATCCAAACTAACCCTTTTTCATCCTCTTCTGTATGTAGGGCATTTGGGCTTAGTTTGGATTTGAACGGCTCCTAACAGGAATTTCGATGCTAAGTACTTTGATAGTTAAACCATCCGGGTATTTCTGAAGACAAATATGGGTCCATTGCGATAGGCATGGATTTCACCAGACACAAGAATGCACTAAAAATCAGATCGAATTCATCTCAATGTGAAGAAAGTGGAGACGCAGACTACTGGAAACAAGATCAAGAGGAGGGGTAGATGTAGGTTCACACCACTCACCATCTAGTGCAAGGAACCTCACAAATCAAGTTGAAAGCCTTCAAGCAAGCTGGTGATAGACGATCGCAGTCCAAGTTCAACACCCAGAACAGGAACTGAAGGACGAAACTTCAAAGAACATATTCACGTCAGTCATCAGGACAAAATGGGAGACATTAAGCAACACCCCCAAGTAAACCTGCGTGGAAGAACACTGGAACTGTGTGAAAGTGACGTGGAAAGAAACCTGCATAACCGTGTTAGGAAGGAAGAAGAAACAAGACAAGGAGTGGATCACGATGGACACATGGAAGCTGATAGTGTAGGGAGAGGAATATGGTGAAGCCGAAGATGAACCAATACAATGCAGGGATGAACACTGAAAAGAGGAACTGAGTACAGCATATAAAACACTGTACAAAGAAGTGAAGAAGAGTGTGCGGAAAGACAAAAGACACTTCTATGACATACTGGCGAGAGAAGCAGAACAGGATGCTGGTAGGAGAGATCTGACAACACTATTTCAAATAACCAGGTGACTTCCTGGGAAGAGATCAATGCAGATGAAATCAATGAAAGATAGTGAAGGAAACTAAGGTACCACCAAAGAGGAGAAACAAAGGAAACAATGAGTTGACGACTTCAAAAAACTCTCGAATCGACCATCACCAACACCACCTGCAACTCGTCCAGAAATACCACCAGCAGCCCGGTCACTGAACTACCAGTGAACACAGGCCCTCCGACAAAAGCCGAAGTCCTGAACACCATAACACTGCTGAAACCCGGGAAAGCAGCAGGACCATATGGAATTCCTCCAGAAGCACTGAAGACAGGCACAAAGACATCAGCAGCGGACATGCTGACACCACTACTGCAGAAGGTTTGCATGGAAGGAAGAAAAGGAACCTGCCGGTTGATTGGAAGAAGGGCTACGTTGTCAATATTCCAAAGAAGAGAGGCTCAAGTCTTTGCAAGAACTGGCGCGGAATCATGCTGCTGTTCACACCAAGCAAAATATTAGGCTGAGTCATCCTGGAGAGGCTACAAATGTTCTGCATTCAAAATTACAACCGGGACAGGCTGGCTGGCTGGCTTCAGGAAGAACAAATCATGTGTGGACCGAATTGCAACGCTACGCATCATCATAGAACAGAGAGTAGAATGGCAGCCAAATCTCTATCTCAACTTTATCGACCTTGAAAATGCCTTCGACAGTGTCGACCGAGAAGTAATTTGGCAGCTGCTTCTACACTACGGTTTAAGTGGGACAAACCTTTATCAATCTCATTCAACAACTATATGACGAGATGATGCCACATGCCAAGTGATCCACAATGAAATGCTGAGTGACGCCTTTGAAGTGAAGACAGAAGTAAGACAAGGTTGCTGCCTACTATCACCGATGATGTTCCCGATCGTGGTCTACTAGACACTGGATCATGCAGCAAACGGTGGGGAGCGAGAATAGGGGAATACGCTGGCTGGACCGATGAAAAGACACTGGAGGACTTGGATTTCGCCGATGATGATTTATGTCTAATGTCGCACAAACTCGAAGATCTGTAGGCAAAAACTAACAAGTCGGTAGGCCAGGGAAGACAGACAGGACTTCCTTCAGGTGAATGTAGAGAAGACGGAGGTGATGAAGATACCTAACGAACAACAGCATCAACAACAAGAGTCACCAATCACCATTAATGGGGGAAACCTAAAGGAAGTAGCCTCTTTCACTTATCTAGGCAGCATCGTTTCAAGTGCAGGCGGCACAGACGAGGACGTCAAAACCAGGATCGGAGAAGCAGGGCAGGCTTTCACTAATCTGAAATCAGTGTGTAGATCTACTGCACTCAGCATAAAGCGTGAACAAGATCCGGAT